TGAATTATCAGCTTCGAAAGAAGGATAAGGAGGCTTCAGTTGAGCCGGTAGCAGAGGCGTTGGTCGCAAGAGGGAAGAATCCAAACCGGAAGAATTGGAAGTCACAGTCTAGAGTAGGGCATCCTACAATTGGAAAAGATCAGTGTGCTTGGTGCAAGGAGACTGGTCATTGGAAGAAAGACTGCACAAAGCTCGACGAATGGATGAAGAATAAGCAGAAGGGAAAAGGGAAGCAACCATCATCAGAAGCAAACATCGTATCGGATGGTAATAATTCTGACTCTTCTATTTATTCGCTTTCTATCAGTCCTACAGATAGCTATTCGGAGGAATCTGAATGGATGTTGGATAGTGGTGCGACCTATCATGTGTGCCCTAGAAGGGAATGGTTCTCCAGTTTTGAGAAGCTGGTGGATAGTGGTGTGGTGTACATGGCTGATAACCGTGCATGCCAGATCCTTGGGATAGGAAGAATTCGCATAAAGATGTTTGACGGGACTGTTAGAGAGTTAAACGATGTGAGATATGTTCCTTCTTTGAGGAAGAACTTGATCTCGATTGGAGCTTTGGTTGGAGAGGGTCTGAAGGTTCGTGTTGAGGACATGGTTCTCGAGATTGCGAGAGACTCTCGTATTTTGATGAAGGGCGTCAGGAGAAATAACCTGTATTACTTGACTGGAGGTATAGTGGCAGGTGGAGAGCTGACGACTTCTGTTGATTCGACTAGACTGCGGCATTTGGGGCTTGGCCATTCCAGTATTGATTCCTCGCATAGATTGAAAGAGGGTGCAAAGACCTGCAGTTTGAAGTCCAGTTTGCAACCAAATCCCCTTTGGAGAAAGTCCTAGTAGTATCCAACAGATTGAAGAAGTGTGTGATAGACAGAAAGGTGAAGGTACTCCATTCTGGTGGGAGGTACAAGATGGACCTGTTTCTGTATTGGAGCCGAGCTCACGGCATTTCGAGACACTTCGTTGGAAAGGAAATCTTGGGGCAACTAGATAAGATGACAAATTTGGAGAACCGTACCTTACTGGAGGAGGATCGGTGTTTGTTGTCAAGCAATGGTCTGCATAAGAGTTTCTGGATAGAGGCTTCGACATATTTGGGCCATCCTATTAAAGAGTTGTCAACTGCTGTGATTGGAGGTAAAACTCCATTGGAAGATAGGTCTGGTAGTGTCACTTTGGTTGAGGCTTCGATGAGGGAGCTAATTGACTCTCAGCAGGTGGAGAGTTTTGGACAGACCTTAGAGGTATCGCAGCGGGTGGAGATGGATGCTACTCCACATCAGGTGAAGATTATTCCAAATCATTCTGCATTGGTTGGGATTCCAGCTGAGGTGACACAGCGTGGAAGTTATTTGGATTTATATGCAGATGATGAGTTGGGTTTTGAATCGAGTGCAGCTGACAGACATAGTTTGGATATGACCATTGGTTCGCCTCAGGTGGAGGTGTTTGAGGGCATTGGAGGTGCTATCAGCCGCAAAGTAGATGATATTGGAGAAGGGTTGCGTACTCTTCTATTGGATTGAGGTCGTTAGCGGCCATTTGGGTGAACTACGTTCGGCTTGATTCCTTGGGCAAGAGGATACGTAGGCAGTCTTTATGATGCAGCCGAGTTGGATTATTTGATGGGGTGAGATCGATTTGGTGAGTTGATACTGACATTTGGAGAGTGTTTGCATTCTCATTTGGGTTCTCGACTTGTTATGGATTAAGTCTGTTGTCGTGAATTATTTCACGGTGTACTGGACACAACAAGTGAGACATTTGGTTTGGTCGGTGTCGGCTCAGTTTTGAGGAAAACTTCACCGAGGTGAAGAATTGTGAACGCGTAAAAACGCGTGAGGTGATTTAAACGTGGGCCCCCCACGTTGTGAAGAGATCAGCGGACAAAAGCAGGGGATATCTTTTCCGCGTGAAGGCTTTGGCACGAACAACGTTGCACGGCCCACCCAAATGTCTGATTGAACCTATAAATACCTAGTTTATTCTAGGGTTTCGGTGGCAGGCAAGCAAAGAGGGGTGGCAGCAAAGTGCAAGGAAGGATTCTCTCTTTTGGCTGGCGGCTACGAAGATCAAAGAATGAGCAAGACAGAGAGAAAATTGAGGAGGTGCAAAAGTGTTGGCAGCGTTCTTTTTGGACGGCGTGCAAAGAGTCATTTTGTGCTTTTGAGAGAGATAATTGTGTGAGGGTTTAGATTGAGTGATTGTAAACTCTAGTTGTATTATCTCTCCCTCTAATAGTAGATCTCCCCCTCCTTGCCCCGTGGACGTAGGCAGTTTGCCGAACCACGTAAAATTAGTTGTTTGAGTTTATGGCCATTGTAATAGTTTTTAGGATCCCTCGACAGGTCAGTCCTAGAACTGATGAGAGGAAGAGCCGATATCTCACTTTGTTGAGATATCCGCTTCAGATTCTTGTCTCCTTGGTGAGACGAGAATTCTTATCGATCTTTCTCTCTTATTGTGCACTCTCTTATCGATCTTGTCTACCAAAAGATTTTTTAAAACTCGTGCTTTTAAAAGGAGTATGATATGATTCTTGGACTTAGAGATGTTGCTCTTCCATGTATTAATATTTTAGTTTAGGGGTAAACTATAAAACATTTGCTGGTGAAGAAAGAGATGCGTTAAATTGTTTTGGAGCAGGTACACTATTTCTAAGTCAAAAATTTAAAATTATACAAAATATCTTGACGTTTCAAAACCCAAAATGACAAACATGAAATCTAAAAAGCAACAACAGTCTCCAAAGAATTTAAAATTGGCAAGTAACATCCTCAACGTTCCAAAAAATTATAAAAAAAACACACTTAAAAGTTTAAATAATTAAAAAGCACCTGAAATTATGAAATTTTAAAACTTTCAAATAACAAAGAAGAATTCATACCATCAAGAACATGAAATTTTAAAATTTATAAAAAATAACCTCAAAGTTATAAACATTAAAAAACACCTTTAAAAGTTAAAAATCACAAAGAAACCCTGAAGTTTCAAAACTTATAACCAGTACATATTAATTTTAAAAATTATTAGCAGACCGCTAATATTTTAATTTTTACAACAAACAATCACAAGTTCCAATAATTACAAAAACACCCTCAAAATTTCAGAGTCATAAGAAATATCCTGACATTCAATAACTTACCATCAATATATGAAATATAAAAATTACAAGCAGCCAACTTAAAATTTAAAATTTTTAAAAACACTCTTAAAGTTTTAAATTTTATAAAACATACTCTCAAAAATTCAAAATCACAAAAAGACTAAAATTTCAAAACTTAGAAAATAAAAAAGTAGTTATTTGATATTCTTTCATTAAGGTATATAAATTTAACTTTCAATTTAAGGTTTACTATCCTTTTTCAGTATCAGAAAGTGGTCTAAATTTATTGTAAAAGATAAAGTGGAGAATGATTGATGATGGCTCAATAAAAAATGAATGAGAAGAATGAAAGACACTATTTTCTGAATATTTTATAGAATGATTTATTTTTTGAGTAAATTAGGAATCTTTAGAAGGGATTTTAGTAAAATTTTTATAGTACTTTTATATGCTTGTGTGGATATTTTATCATTTGAAGTGTACTAGAGTAAACATTAATCTTTACTTTATCATTATTTTAAAGTTTATCAAGAATTAGGAACAAACTCTATATTCTCTTTTGTATCATTTTAGCCCACTTTTACATAATTATATTGTCTTGTTAGCTTTAATTATTCATTTTTCTTTTATAACGTTCTTTTTTAAAGTGTTTTTAACTTTTACAACACTATACTTTCTCAAGTCAAGTTCGGTTTTATGTCGTTCCAAATAACATGATAATTCAAATTAACTTCGGATTACATTTGTTTCCTGTCAATACAAATGCTAATATGAAAACTCAAATTAGGTATAGCTCATTTAAACGAGCATAAAAATAATAATCACAATGCTAAACTTTAGAGACATAAGAGAGCAAAAACCATCAAAGTAGAACCGAGAAATAAATTTTAATAAGGAAATAAATAGAATATACTTAATCATGATATTTAACCTCGTGCATTGCACGTGTATAAAACCTAGTTAAAAAAACCAACATAAAATAGCACGCATGAGTTTTAAAGAATATCACATTAATAAGGGGGGGTCTACTAAAAATACCAACATGATAATTTAGGGGGAAAAAAATAAAAAAAGGGGTAATTTCAACTCAATGTCAAAAATGCAAAACGTAAATACTCTGATTTAGAGGCCAGATATGCAAATACGATAGATCTAGGGCCAGGGGTGTACACAGCCCGCAATTGAACTCCTCTCTCTTCAGCTTCAAGATCTAATCTCACTCCGAGAAAGTCAAACCCCTCCAAAAATCAACCTCCAATGGCGAAGCGCCGCCCCGGACCTCGCCGACGACCACGCCTGCACCCGCAACCCGGCACAAACTGGCGGCTCCAACTCCCCCCCGCCTCCCCGGCAAAGTCTACTGCCAGAAGCACCACCTGTTCAACCTCGCCCCGCTCTAAATCCAAATCCCTAGCCCCAAACCCTAACCCTAACCCTAACCCTAACCTCCTCCGCGAGATCTGGGCCTTCCACCCCACCCCCGGCGCCCCTCCCCGCCTCTACGCCCGCGTCGAGCGCCGCGTCCCCAACCAGTCCCTCGTCGAGGTCACGCCGCTGATCCCTTACCCTAATGATGGCGTTGATGTTGCCTGTGGGCTGTTTAGGGCTTTGCAGACCACGGAAATGAAGGATATGGGGACGTTTAGTCATCGGGTTTGGTTCGAGATGGGAGCGGGTGATGGAGGAGAGGAGTTGTACAAGATTTTTCCGAGGAAAGGGGAGGTTTGGGCCGTGGAGAGGTATAATTGGGTGGAGATGGTTTCGAGCTTTGGGGACGTGGAGGGGGCGAGCGGGCTTGTGCTTGAGGAGGAGGAGGAGGAGGAGGAGGGGGGGTGGAGGAGGATTGGGGACGTGGAGGGGGCGAGCGGGCTTGTGCTTGAGGAGGAGGAGGAGGAGGAGGAGGGGGGTTTTAGGAGGAGGTTGTATGAGGGTTGTGAGTTGATTCGGAGGTTTTCGATGGAGGAGATGGGGATGTTCTTGTATAGGATTTCGGACGCGAGAGTTATCGGAGTTGGCAATTTGTTAGCATCGCAGGTAATGTGTTTGATTTTATCCCTCCTTTTTGTTAATTGTGACAAAATTTTTGCTGTTTCTATACAAATGTAGTGAGCATTGAACTGCATCAAACTGGAATTTAGGAACATTCAAATACAGTCTTATTGAAATTGTGAAAAAATGATACTTATGATAGACAAATCTATAGCGCTGGTGATGGTTGGTTCCTGAGTTGATGTTGATTGAGGATGGGATCAGTGTTGTCAATGCGCGAGGCGCAAGGCAGGGCGCAAAGCATCTTTACGCGCACATGCGCAAGGCGCAACGCAATGCGCGTGCTCGAGTGATGCGAGGCGCACACCGCACACATAATTTTTCAATATATATAATCAAGCGCGAAAGAACATGTTTTTAGAATTTACATGATAAATAATATCTTACTACAAAATCACAATATAATGCCTTAATTTCTAATGCTAACACCCAATATAGTAGCAAAATTCATAAATTTTCAAATCAAATGTTAAATCAAGACTAATATCCAAGTAAAGGATTAGTAATGGTCCTCAATTGAAGGCTATTAGAAAGGCCTAATGGATTTATTTTGTTTTTTGGGATATGGAATATCAAATATAAAGGCTCGATTGAAATGTTAACAAACAAAACTATATGAGGATATGTACTACATGCACCCTGCACAAAGTAAGGATGTACGCGAGGCGTAAAAGGCACTACTGCATCAGATGTGGGACGCTTCGTCACCGCCCCGCATCGTAAGGCGCATGAGGCGCAATAAGGCGAGCACCTTTGAAAACACTGATTGGGATAGTTCTTGATGTGGGAATGTCCCAAGTTTAGCTGTTGTGTGACAATAGTTTAAGAGGACTTCTTTAGGGTGCCACATCCCCATCCACTCCCTTGTCGAGGTAACTCCGACTCATCCCTTATCAATGTTGCTTTTCATGGACCTTTTAGGGCTTTGGATTTTTCAGGATGAAGGATACGGGGACATTTTAGTCACAGTGTTGGTTCAAGATGTGAGGTGGAGAGGAATTGTTTAAGATTTTTCCGAGGAAGGGGGTGATATGGATGTGCAGAGGTATAATTGGGTAGAGATGGTTTCGAGCTTTAGAGATATGGAGGAGAGAGTGGGCACGTGCTTGTGGAAGATGACATGGGTTTTTAGAGAAGGCCATATGAGGGCTGTGAGTTGTTTCAGAGGTTTTAGATGGAGGAAGTATGGATGTTCTTTTAAAGGATTTTAGGTGTGAGGGTCATTGGAGGCGGCCCAATATTGTTGTTGCAGTTGTTGTGCTTGATTTTGTTTTGTTGTTTCTATGCAAATATAATGAACATTGAACTAGAACTTATGAACTGCCAAATATAGTCTTACATAATTTGCGAAAAATGCTACTTATAATATACAAGTTTATAGCATTTGGTTGTGGTTCTTGAGATCGATATTGGTAATTGAAAGAAAACTAATTGGGATTGTCCTTGAGATGGAAATGTCCCAAATTTAGATATTGTGTGGAAATAGTTCAAGAGGACTTCTTTTGGGCACCACATCCCCAACCTATTCCTTGTCAAGGTAACTCCCACTCATCACCTACCTTGATCCTATAGTTGATGTTGCTTGCTGGCTTTTTAGGGTTTTAGAGTCTACGTCTATGTTACCTGGTTGCTGCTATCTTGAAGACGTAGCCGTACACGTACCCGCATCAAACACGTACCCGACACTTCCCAAACTTCGTGGACACTACTTGGATACATGCATACATTTATTCAGACATATACTCAATTATCCAATATATGTTTTAATTTAAAGCACTTGTCACACACTTCTTGGATGTATATCCTACACTTTACATTATTTCTTGATACTCTTTAGACATTGGTCGAGTTCATTTCGGTCCACACCCAAGTTGAAAGCTATGATTCCAAAAGGTCGTCTGGGTATCTAGTTAAAAAAAACAAATAGTTTCAAACTTATAATAATCAACATTGTGAAAGACGCTCAACTGTGCTAGAAATTTTAATTCTAACAACGCATGAACTGAAAAATAATGATATATTTTAAGTATATATGTAGCAGTGTCCCAGTTCCTTACATTTTACAGATGCTCTGTTCCCATACCCGCACCCGTACTAGTACCCGCACCCATTTCCATACAATTTAGGTCTACGTAGTTGAAGGATATGGGGATATTCAATCATAGAGTTTGGTTCAAGATGGGCGGTGGAGGGGAGGAATTGTATAAGATTTTTCTAAGGAAGAGGGAGGTTGTTTAGGTTGTGGAGAGGTATGTTGTGTGAAGATCGTTTCGAGCTTTAGGTACGAGGAGGAGGCAAGCTGGTTGGTGCTTGTTGAGGTGGAGAGGGTTCTTAGAAGAGATTTGAGGGGGTTCTTAGAAGAGATTGTATGAGGGATCGGAGTTGGATTAGAGTTTCTAGATGAAGGTCATATGGATGTTCTCGTATAGGATTTTGGGCGCCAGAATTGTTAGAGATGGCAGTATGTTGGGGTTGTAGGTAATGTCTTTGTCTTTTTTTTTTGTTAATTTGTCGAGCTAATATTTTTCACACAGTTTTGTTGTTTCTATGCGAGCATAAATGAACAATGAACTAGATTTAGGAACGTTTAGCTATAGCTGTACTGAAATTGTGAAAGTATGCTAATTATGAGATGAAAGTTTATAAAATCGATGCTAGTATTTGAGATTGTTATTGATAGAAGAACTAATTGAAATAGTTCTTGATACAGAAAATGTCCAAAGTTTGTATCTTGTGTGGAAATAGTTTCTTTAGAGGGTTGCAATCCTAATCAATCCCTTGTTGAGGTCACTTTACTCCTTTACCCTGATCTCGCTGTTGATGTGCTTGTGAACTTTGTAAGGCTTCAAACATCATTGAGATGAAGAACATGAGAGCATTTAGCCATCGGTTTTGGTTCGAGATGGGTGATGGAGGGGAGGTATTGTATAAGACTCTTCCTTGAAAGGCAGAGGC